ATTCTTACGTTTAATGTATAGAAATTCCCGGTCCTTCACATTAGCTCCGGTCGAAAAGTGTCGCAGATACATGGTTATTTCATAAATGGCACCGAACTAAAGGAGGTGGAAACCTACAAAGATCTAGGTGTGTGGACAACTGCGAACTTGCTGCCATCAGAGCACTATAAAAAGGCAGTCCAGAAGACAACTAGTACGCTGCACTGGATCGGGCGAGCGTTCAAAATATTCCCACATGAACTCTATGGAAAAATATTTGGCGCATTTGTGAGACCACACCTCGACTACCGTATGCCAGTCTGAATATCACGGTTAAAGAAGGATGTGGAGCTTCTCGAACAAGTGCAACGGAGGGCGACGAATGTGGTCGACGGTCTTAGGGACTTATCATATCAGGGGAGATTGATAAAACTTGACCTATTTCTCTTGTTTTACGGGCACTTACAGCGTAGTCTGCTCTGGATATTTCGAATAACCCGGGGCAATAGTTCCTCACTGAGCCTGGATGATTTCTTCGAGTTAGCCAACACAGCTCACCTGCGTGACCATCCTTATAAGGCCACAAACGAGCGCACTCGATTGGACCATAGCTAACGAGTAAGACGAGCTTGGAACTCGATACCAAGCGAGACGGTCTCCGCCGACGCAATTACGGATTACAAAGAAGAGTTGATTGCATAATATTTGACAAAAGGCGAATATTACAACAAGATTTCCTACTGCCAGCCTTGTAAACAGTTTCCTGTCTCTGGCTTGTTTTGCATACTGTTTCGCAATGTCCCGGGACAACTCGCTCAAATCTATATTTTGTTAACTGTCTTCCGCTACATATTGACTGTAAAATCGATTTGGTTATTTTAGACTAATAGTGTCCTCAAGGGCATTCATAAGTTGTCCGTTGATCAAGGCACCTTCCCATCTGATTGAAAAAACGGAATATACTCCATTTTGACAAGAGTGGATCCAAAACCAGTGCGAACAACTATTGACCGGTGACACTAACATTCATTTGTGGAGGTTATAGAAAGGATTATAAAAATGGATGCCATGAAATTTCTCGAAGACGAAGACACTTATGACAGTGTCCAACACAGATTTCGAGGAAACCACTCCTGTCTGACCAATCTGCTTTATTCAGTTGAGCAGTGCTCCAGGTCATTGAATGAGAATATTAACGTCGATATCGTCTACATCGAACTCAAAAAAGCTTTCGATCGTGCCCCACACCAACAGTCAATATACAATTTCGTTGAATGCGGGATAAGGGGCAATTTATTAAATTGGATAGGCGATTTTCTAAGGGGCCGATCGCAGTTCGTGTGCGGGGGCAACGCGAAATCCACTTCAGTGCAATTTATCAGTATTGTACACCGGGGCCCCGTTCTTGGGTCCTTAGTGTTCCTAATCTACGCTAATGACTGTTTACATGGACTGGATAGTAAGGGAGTCCTGTTTGTTAATGGTATAAAGATATTGTTTTCCACACGGATTGTGTGGCAGGCATGACGCCATCATCTCCTCAACCGGAATTATTATTATCTTTATGTAACACCTTCACTGTTCACATCACTATCAATATTGATTAAACTTATCCTTTGTTTAAGAGAAGCATCACTAGTTTTCAACATTGCGGATATTTTCACAATTTATGAGTGCCGATCTGATGACGTTCACGGCCTCTGAGTCTTATCTCCGATTTAATCTGGAGGGAAACGGTGTTGAATTTACAGTCCGCAACCGATAAATTCATCAGCCGACTGCGAGAAACAGTTCGCCAATGTATCCCGTTCTGGTGCAGAATCCCGATTTCATAAAAAAGAAGGAAGACTGCAAACACTATTTACCTGTGCCAACCTTTCCTAGTTTCCAAATGCCTCCAAATATGCCTTCCTCTGGAATAATATTCCCCTCGAAATTAGGCTA